CTACAAGTATTGCCAGGGTATTACTTGCCCCACTTGTCCAGCTAAGATGCAGGCAGCAATAAGGCATTTTTGGAATGTTTTCTGTTATTCGTCAGACTCGGCGGCGACTATCATTGGACACTTTGAAGTGCATGAGTTACAACTCCTTCTGTGTCCTTCCTCCATGATATATGCACCATAGGCACATAAATAAAAACAAGGTACATGTACATTCATGTTAAGTCATATATGTCTGAAATTGGGATTCCTATGAACGTGGCTGTGTCATTTTGTGGGTTGAATACATAGTTTCGGCAAAAAAGTTTTGCTGTGGATTCAGTGTTTTTAAAGTCAAGTAAGGTGTGTAGATTCCACAATCTCATTTTCAGTCTTCACACAAGTACCCCTTTGGTATTAATCAAGGTTAAAAATGATGGTCACACAAAGATAAAAAAACTAGCATATTACGAATAGCGCCACCAATGTCTGGGTCCATGAATCTACACATAGCTAACTATAAAAGGCTTTAATTTCCCATTAACTGTGATGAACAATGTGATGTATGGGACAATCAGTGTGCGCACTGGTCTGTCATTCCAGATCAAGCTTTTTCACATTTTTTCCCCTCAGTTTCTTTATTTTCTCAAGTGGATTGCATGTTTACCGGTTCTTTCTATACAACTGTACATGTTTTTCATTTCTTTTTTGGTAGGTTAGGGCTGTGCTGAATATCCAAGTATTCGATCAGTTATCGAAAATACAAATACTATTTTTTTAATTTGAATATTCGAATTCAAAATGCATGAAACAGAAGGGACAATTTTCGTTTATTTTAAATGAGAACAATTGCACCATGGAAGCTTGTTTCAAGCAGATTCACACGACAAGTGACAGAATAATGTTTTTCACAACGATTCAGAAAGTAAATTTCTCTTTGAAGATCTAACAGGAATAGAAATTTTCAACAGGGCAAGGATTATTGTTAGTCTGTTAAATCTTTAATAAATAATGGCTGGAGATACATATACCCGTAAAAGTGAGAAGCTAGTATTATACTGATTATAATGTACAATTGTGTGCATTATTGCAACTTACATGGTTTGTTCAACAATCTGCCAGTCGATACGACCAAATATTCAGATATTTGATCGAATTGAAGGTTGAATATTTGAATAGGGAAATATTCTTATTGACTCAGCCCTATGGTAGGTTTATACCCCAGGAGAATTTTTTTAAAGGGACATACGTTTGTAAAGTTTGGGGTCTATTTGTTGACCTGTTCCTGTATACCCAGCAAGAAATGAGACCGAGGAGTCCCCCCCAACATGTCCAATCCCTATACACATTCCCAGACTATTGTTACTTAACACATCGCCCCAAGATGTCTGAAAGGAATTCCCCAGATTCCTGCGAGACAATGACCAACACAAAGCAGGGGGGGTTCTCTCCGTCTCATACCTTGCTGCATACGTGTTCCTGTTTCCAGTGCACCCGACTGGTGCAAGAAAGTAGAGAGAAACCTGTCTATACATGTATTTCCATAACAGTAGCAAAGCCCTGCATTACAAAATGACTGACATTTTGACCTTGATCCGTAAAAGAGGTCACATGTAAAAAAACCCACAGTTTTCTTACCCATGTTTGGCAAATGACAAATGCTCAGTCAAGTTAAGTCTGGTTACCCGACATGATATTGTAAATATATTAAGATTCATAGAGACTCATCAAAAATCTTCCTCGAAGTCAAGGAAGTAGACTACATGTACAATCTCTA